ACAGGCTTTGGGAGCACACGCTGGGTATGATTCGCACCCATGCCATCAACTTTAAAGTGGACTTGGATGTGGGAGGTAGGTCTGGATCTTGTCTCTCCTTTGTGCCCTCTTCAAATGCTTTTAGGCTCACCAAACTTTTCTGCTTATACAGATTTTCCTTTCCACTCATGAGGCAGTGTTGTGTGCTTGCAATGGAGGGCGGCAAAATTGCACGAAGAATGAAAAGGCAGAAGTAATCACTCTGTTACTGCTATCACTGGCAGGGGAGGTGTGGGGTTAGAGGTTTTGTTCACGTTGGAAAAGGGAAGAAAATGAGCACAGTGGTGGTTGCTGGGCATGGATCTTCCATGGGGCTCAGACCTTCATAGATGGCTGGTGGTTTAGCTTTGAAATGGCCTTTGTGAAAGCTGGGAACTCACGAGGGGCTGAGGGAAGTGTAGCACAGAGGGCATCGTGGTGGGACAGACAGGAGGTGCCCAGGACTGGCTCCTCTGTCAGATCTGCACTGGTGCTTGCCATCAAGCGTTCTCAGCCAGCCCTTTGCCATCCTCTCCCCAGATGAATTTGCTCCTGTGCCCCTCCTGCTGCTCCAAGCCTCAGGCTTGCACCTCTTCTTTGTGGCAGGACCTGAACAGCACAGCACTGCTCCAGTCTGTGATGTGTAAATTTGCTCAGTGCCTGGGCTGCTCTGGGTGCTTCCAATGCACAGGATGTGCTGATGAGCAGTAACAGCCTATGCCAGCAGAGTTAAATAGACTGTGCTTGTAAGGAAGCAAACCTGTTCTTCCACCCTGGGATGAGGCTCATCCCTTGTCCACTCTTGTCTCTCACAGAGGGTGAGAGTCCTCGTCATGGCGTCTGCCACAGCATGGTATTGCCTGGCTCAGATGAGTGTCCAGCCATAGATCAACACGCGTACAGTCATGGCACGTGGAGCTGTGGAGCAGCAACTGCTCTCAGACAGAGCCCATGCTCAGAGCCTAGGGAGCAGGGTGGGATGACAGGGAGAGAGCTCTGGCTGCAGGGATGTCCTTGGGGAACAGGCCATGGTGGGGATGTTCCTCAGTGACTTTGTTTTGGCTTTGCAGGGGTGAAAAACTCCCTGGTGGCTCATGACATGGCGTTTGAGATGACACGGGCTCCCTGGAGCCCAGAGCAGCAGATAGAGCGACCACGACTCACCAAGAAAGTTCTGGACACAGAGGACCAGGCCGCCTTCCGACTCCAGTCAAAGATGCCCAGATACATCTATTTTGCGGCCAACAGCAAAAACAAGTGGGGCCACCAGCGTGGGTACAGGATCCAGATCAGCAGTTTTGCAGGGGACCACATCCCTGAAGCCAGCTCCATGGAGAGGGCCATCAGCTGGGCAAGGTCAGGGTGCTCTGCCGGGGACGGCAGGCTCTGGAGACCTCCCAGCCCTGCCAGCTGGGAAGGCATCACATGGATGTCCCTTGATAGGAGGCACTGGGAAATGCTGTTCTGGGCTGGGGTTGCTCCATCGGAGCCTGTGCTCTGCAGACTCTCTCGGGAGCTGACCTAGCTCTGCCCTGCCTCGGGGGGGCTGCTCCCATCTCTTTTCTTGCCCTCAGGTACCAGCTGGCTGTCACCCGGAGGAAGGAGGAGGAGCCCACCAGCACCAGCATCTACAACCAGAATGACCCCTGGACGCCCACTGTTGCCTTCGCTGACTTCATCAACAATGAGACTATCACCAACGAGGTGGGTCAGGGTCCCCTGGAGTGGAGCTGTAATACCCAGTGCTGGGCTGAGCATGAGCCCCTAGGCTGCCCCAGGGGCCAAGCGACCTTGGAATCTCACACGGGACTGTGGGCTTAGCTGGGAGAGCAGTGGCCCCGGGGAGTAAGGAAAGCATGTTTGAGCATCTCCTTCTCTGTGTGCCTGCTTGGTGCTTTGGTCAGAGCACACACATCAGTGTGCAGAGCAGGAACTTGTTTCTCCCTGTGGAGAAATGCTGGCAAAATGTCAGGAAAATCTCTGTGAGGCTGGAGTAAGGTTGCAGAGGTCAAGGCAAGGGCCCTTCCGCTGGGTGGGTATTTGTGGCTGTGGCTGAGGGAAAGTCTTTGGGGAAGGGAGGGGATCTCTCCCAGGGGGAGGGAGCCTGCCATGTGGGAACACAGCAGGGTGGTGCCTGTGGTCCCTTCCTGCTCCCCTGTCACTCCCCATGGCCCCATGTGGATTTTGGTCACTACTGCTGCAGCTTCTGAAGTAACCCCAGTCTTGTGGCTCTTCCCTGCCTAGGATCTAGTTGCCTGGGTAACTGCTGGCTTCCTTCACATCCCGCACTCTGAGGACATTCCCAACACTGTGACTGTGGGAAACTCGGTCGGTTTTCTCCTGAGACCCTACAACTACTATGACCTGGACCCCTCCATATACTCGCACGATGGTGTGTTTTTCACCAGTGAGCAGGACTTCATGGCATGTGAAAACAACCCTCTTGCCTGCCTGCCCAAAACTGCATCTTGTTTGCCAAACTTCCCCCCATTCACCTATGAGGGGTTCCAAAATATGAGCAGGCTTTAACACTACAGGATGGTGTGAAGAGATGTGGTCAGAGACACCAGGCTGACTGTTCTCTCTCAGATTTTCAATTTTTTAGTGAAGTTATCTCAATTTCCAGTTGTGCAATGCTTTAACATTTTATCATTGCTTTTGAACTAGTGCTCTTGAAAAGGGAGGCGTGATCCTTCTGGCATGATGTCAGATGGGAGTCTGCGTTATCTGTTAATTGCTGAATTTGAGTCTGTTGCAGGAGGTAAGAGAGGAGAAAATCCTGTTCCTCTGCTGTAGAAGCAAGTGCTGTGTAGTGCCTATTTCAGGTTTAAATAATGAAAATCATTCTGGTCTGGTGCACTTGAGTGTCTCATTCTTACGACTCACAGCAGCATCTCCTGGGAGTGATGCTGGTCTCCACCATGCCTCCTGTGCCCACAAACCAGCCAAGCAGAGTGGGTCTGGGTACCTGTCTGGGCACAGGGACATCCAGCTGGAGGGCAGGAGGGGTGGGCTGAGGCATCCTGGGGCTCTGGGGCCAGGACTGAGGCAGGCACTGGCACCAAGCCCTGTGGCTGTGGGTCAGGGCCAGGACTGTGTGGGCTGCAGTGCAAAGGCCCTCAGTGCTGGGTCCAGGGGAGCACTGTGGGGAGGGGTCTTGCAGCTGCTGGCAGTGCAGCATGGCCAGTGCCACTGCCTGTTTGCCAGGATGCTGGGTGGACTCTGGAGCCCTCATCCTCCTTCTCACATCTTTGCTAGGATGTGGCTCAGGATCAGGAGGCACCTTTGAGGGGTGACAAGCAGCTGTCCCCTCCCTCCTGGCTGCCGGGCCGTAGGATGTCAGCAGCAGTGAGCAATGCCACTGGTGACAGAGGGACTGTGTCAGGATGGGGCTGTGATGCTGTGCTCAGTGCTGCTGTGCATGGAGAAGGGTTGTCTTTGCATCCTTTGCTGCCTGCCTGGCATCTATGGGGTTAAGAGAAGGAGAAGGGAGATATATGTATTTCCCCCCACATGAATGGATCCTTCCTCTCCAAGTTCTGCAGTGTAGGCTCTGAAACCAGAGGGGAAGGACAAATGCACAAGAATTAAGTTTACTTAAAGTGATGACCCTCTGGGGAAGCAGAACAAAGTTGCCTTTTATGGTTCCCAGCAAATCCTGGCAATGTGTGAGAACATCCCCCAGCGCCTTCCCTGTGAGTTCCTCTGGGCTGTTCCCAGCTGAGGAAACAGGGGAGAAAAACAAACCTAACCAAACCCAGCCGCTTGTTCCAGCGGGTTGTTGGGAGGGTTCCGCAGCTGGAAGCACTCCTGCCAGACTGCAGGAGCACTCAGTGCCTCAGCAGGCATGAATGCAAAAACTGTGCTCATCCTCCTCGGTCTGGCCCTGGCCACGATATTCACCTTGGTCTGCGTATTGCTGACCAAGGGAAGGGCCCCCAGCACCTGCCAGCACGTACCCCTGAAGCAGGAGGGCACTGAGGATGGCCAGAGCCTGGTCTTTGCCGACCTGACCCCCCAGGAGCTGGAGCAAGTGGTGCAGTACCTGCAGGGAAACCTCGGGGTGCAGCTGGTTGACGCCTCACGCGCCAAACCGTCAGACAACTGCATCGCGTCCGTGGATCTACAGGTGCCCCCCAAGGCAGAGGTGCTGCGTTTCCTGGACGGTGGGGGGGCTCGGCCCCCACGAGAGGCGCTGGCTGTGCTGTACTTCGGGAACCAACCGGACCCCAACGTCACCGAGTACGTGGTGGGTCCTCTGCCAGCACCGGCGTACCACCGGGACGTCACGGTGCACAAGTACGGGGGGAAGGTGCCCTACCACCGCAGACCTGTTACTGGCAAGGAGTACATGGATATCAATGTCCTGGTCCAGCGGGAGCTGAGAAAGGCGCCACGCTTCCTCGCCGCATGCTGTGAGTCCGATGGGACCAACCTGGTCATCCTCACCACAGCCCCACGGGGCTTCAAGTCTGGTGATCGCATGACCTGGTTTGTCCTTTTCCACAATGTGGCTGGCACTGGTTACTACCTGTC